AATCCCACAAGTTAAAAAATCAACAAAACAACAGTACATGTGACCCACTCACCATAACCAGCCCCTTCCCGCCGCGGGCAAATCCCTCGCGGGCGGTGGCGGGTCGCTTGTTGAGCTGCTCCCGCCTCTTCTTCTGATAGTCGTCGTCCAGAGTGAGGGCGGCCAGACCTTTGCCCAGCGTGCCCGTGATGCGCGACACCGCGCCCGCAGCGCCACCTGGAGGGGCACACATACAGCGTAACAAACGCGTGCGTCATAAACACGTAACGAACACATTACGAACATGTAAAGAATACATCCGAAACATGTAACGAACACGACTTGAACAGGCAACGAACGCATCATAGATACGTAATGAATACAGCATGAACAAGTAACGAATACATCATAAATAAACATGTAACGAACACGACATGAACGCGCAACGAACGCAACATAAACACGAAACGAATACATCATGAACACGTAATGAACACATCATAAATAAACATGTAACGAACACGGCATAAACACGTAACGTACACATAAACACGTAATGTACACATAAACACGTAACGTACACATAAACACGTAACGTACACATCATAATACGCAACGAACACATCATAAACACGTAATGCACGTAATGAACACGACATGAACACATAACAAACAGGTCATAAGCATTTGACAAACATGTCATAAACATGAAATGAACACATTAATAACACACGACGCGGAACATACACATTACACATCATCGTCTGTTCTTCACTTTTTCTGTCTTTTTTTCTCAATTTTTGGAAGGAGTGACCTGCCATTGTGGTTTGACAAACAGTATAAATAAAAAAATAACACAGTTTTGTGGGCATCTGGAGTTAGTGGTATCTACTTAAAGCTTGTCCATTTGTCTTGCTTTTGATGAAAAAAAAATACCCATCACTCTTGAATAGATCTCGAAATATTTGCAAATAAAGGAGGTGGGGGTCACATGGTGTTAGACATGAATTAGCCAGGAAATGGTCGTCAAAGTTTGGAGTCTTCAAAAGCTCGAGTGCTCTTTGTAAACTGTAAATTTACATTTTTCGTGCTTTTGATAAACGCCTTCCAGTAAAATCCACACAGAAATATGTTTTCCAATGGACATAAAAAG